CCACATATGAAGACATTCATTGTAAATTTCGATTGACCAGTGGCAGTATAATGTCCTCGTAAGTGGATATCAGGCCCTTGTAGAGCAAAATTGAGTATTTTGGTCTAGACAACCCAAAATGTGATGTCCACATATGTGGACGCCAGGTCCTAGGAGGTTAAGATGCCAGCTAGATTTCCCGTTTAAAAGTCCAGTTCTGTGAGTGAACAACAGGATGACTTTATATGTGACCTTATGTTTATTTAAAATCGTGGCTTTATTTTGCTATATAGAGTTTAAGCACTCTAACCCAAAGCGTCTTGCAGGGTTTTTAGAACACTAGGGTACAATACAGAGCAAAATAAATCATATAAGTCTACAGAGTCTACTGCACAATGCTTTGGCAAGTCTAACCAAAAAACAAGGTAAGCTCAGCGAATTGGCTGACTCTGCAGAGGCCACGGTGACAATACAACATCACAGAAAACTGTACCAAAAGGCTCTAAAATTACTGTGCTACTTAGTGTGTTTCAAATAGATAAAACTATCAATCAATGAAAACAACTATAGGTAGAAATAAACTGTAGCAAAATGCTGTTGAACTCAACGTTATCTTCCACATTTAATCTACGAGTTTATATGATTAAGTGGTTCATCATGTTAACTTGTTAATGAATTGTGGAATGATTAGCCATGTAGTGTTGGTGGTGGAGCAGAGTAACAGCTTGCTTATTAATCCTGATGCAGAGCTTACTAAAAGTGAAACAAAGGAATTGCGACTGTTTTATCTTTTAGGAAAATTAAAGAGTGAGCACAGTTCCCAGGGAGGAAAATGGATGAGTTAATCACGGTGCTAATGAGAAGAGGGTGGGAAACACAGATGACTTTACATCATCCTGCTCTGACAGCAGCAGGACAACTGAACTGCTGTAAGCAGGAGCGGTGACTCCCGGCTGCTCTGGCTCCTTCCAGCTTCTCGGGACTCATGTTCTTGTGAGCACATCAAGGATCTGCAGCAAACATTTGTGTAGTTATAGCAGTTCTTGCAGTGTCTCTGCCACATGTAAGAGCTTAAAAGCAAATGAACTAAGCATTGTCTAGTTTCACCCCCCAAGAAGCAAGTCTACAATTACATTTCCATGGGGTGAAAACGGTATATTATCACCTTTCCTGTCAGTCATCTGTAACCCAGAGGTATGGTGCAGTATGCATTTTATCATTATAAATAGAAATGTGTCCTTAAAGGAAGCGGTTCTTCACTCGGCGTGTCTGTACAGATAAGACAGCTTTGTTTTCACTTGTCTAGAAAAAGCCTTCGGGGGTCTCTCTTTTTGCTCTGCAGTAGCCCAGCACCCTGACCCGCGCAAGGGCACAAAACTACAATGACACACACCGTGAAGCTGAAAACAGAGAGTCAGCAACCAGCTCAACATGAAGTATTCGTTTTGCAGCAACGGTATATCCCTCACCTAAAAAAAGAGAGGAAGCACTAGCTTGAGGAGCGTCCCTGACAGAAAGCTGTCAGGAATAAATCCCACAGCGGTTCTACGTAGACAGTTGAGGGCTGCTGAGGTCAGCATATCGCCATAACAGATCTTTTCTCCCACCTACTCGAGAGGAGTGTACCATCAAAGACTATTGATCACAGTAATCAAAAAGAATGTGCTGTATGATAGCAAGAGTCATCGCCATCAACAAATCACCTCTGACAAACAGAGGGGGAGAGGAGACACAGACAAGCCAAGAGAAGTCGATTTATTCCCAGTTAAACACTCCTGTGTGCAATCAATCCGGCTGCTAAGGATCTTCTGTTAGAGCCATTTATATCCTCTCTTTATGTGTGGACATGATCGGGGATGATAGAAGTCATTAAACTGGATTGTGTTTGAAATTTCAAGCTATACCCTCTTCACAAAATCTTTTTTCTTCCCATGAAGTTTGGTTCGAATCTTCACAAAGACTCAAAATTTCTATGAAAACAAACCCATAAATCCAGATAGAGTGTTTTTTCCTGTGTGCGTGCTGATTTGACTGCATGTGTTTTACACGCTACGAGAGAGACGAAGTATGCTTTGAAAGATGTCAGGCGTATTTGGTGATCCCCAAGATCATTCCCATTTCCATAAACTTTTGAAATTTGTTTTCCAGACATAGTTGTTTTTGCATTTCTCCAATGGAGCCTAGGTGACCTGAGAGCTGTCAATCAAGCAGAGATTGTAGATACGGGGGGTGATCTGAGACAAACACACTTATACATTTTCAGATCAGCGTCTTCCAATTTAGAACGAAAAGAAAATGAAAAAGGAAAAACTTCTTTTATTAAAAACACTCCCTGTGATTCTATTTGAAAGCCTTAGTAAGTGTGATGTGAATGATATTAGATAATTATTGCAGCTGATATTCTCACCTGCACATATAAAACTGTATATACCACACTGTGCTTTTGTTATTATTATTCAATCTTACTGTCATTTTAAAATAAAGGTTTCATTACTGATCAGTCACCCCATGCTAATTCTTTACTGACAACCATCAATAATTACTTTTTTTTTTAAAAAAGGAATTTTTTAGTTGACTTAAAAACGCGTAGCTAGGGTTAGCATTGTTACTGATGATGATGACGTAGACCTCAGAGGGTTAATTGACTCCTTAAAAAAACTCATTATGTTTGTTTTCTGTGATTGTAAACCACGTATATTTTATATTTAGATTAAATAAGTGGAAGGGATTAACAATTATGCAAAAACGTAGTTTTAATTTTATAGGCACTCATTAATGGCCACCTATTATTTACAGCTATGTACAGTTGCATTTGTATAGTCACATAACTATGGATGTGAAGACAGATCTTTAAAAAAAAAAGAATTTGATGGACTATTTTTTTTCTTTTGAATTTTCTAAAATAAGCACAGGGTCAAAAATATACACAGGGTGAACCTAATATCTGAATTCATTGTCTCTTAGCAAATTGCATCTTAAAACTTCTTACTGACCACCCAAAGCTCTTTATACTAAAATCTACATTCACCTTTTGAACTCTCAGTGCACTTAGGTGCTTTATCCATCTTGCATGCATACTTACGGTTAATGTAGTAGAAATACTATAAAACCTAACCTGTGAGGCTGATTCTGCAGCTTTAAACTGATAGCTAAGTTATGGCTGTTGCTGTCGTGCCACTGTGAAGCACAGGCTACTTATTTTCAGTCATTTTTATCAGGTCGATCAAATTTCAGCGTATTTTATCATAATATTTCAAGGAAGTTAGTGATAATTATGTTTCTGACGATGCAGAAAAGAATATTGAATGCTTTATTGGTGACTGCAGCTTGCAGGAGCAGCATTTATTAGAGCAAACAAAAGGCAGGGCGTTCTCCACCCTGCAATCAGCTACTGTCTCAAATGACACACTATTTAATTCAACGTGTAAATCTGTTGCCACAAGGTGCAAGTAAAAGCAGCACTTTAGTACAACAGTACAAAATAGTGACCTATTGTCAGTCAAATGCAAACCGAAGAGTAGCCAAAGTAGTGTTTTCAATGGGAATTTTAAATGAAAATAATATCTAGCCACTTTAGTTTGACAATAACAATAACTAAAGCCGCGTATCCTTCAAACTCTCTGGAACCTGCACAATACTGTTACATAACTGAAAAATATTTTCCACCTGGGATTTTGTGTCTTAGGTCGAGCTTTTTATCCAGCTGCTTTTACCACCATGAGCCCACATCAGTAATTTCCCTCCATCGTTTGCGCTCCCTGTCATACGGAACGCAACTAGTGAGTGCTGCAGCGATGCTCGGTGGAGTCATTTGTTTGGATCACACCACCAGCTGCTAGCATCTCCTCCTCCGGTGCGTTCAGAGCCTGGTTGTTGTTTCCACATTTAGTGGGAACAATTTCCTCACTTTAGTTTACTGAAATATACTTTATATATTTTTTAAAGTATTGTGCTTTGTTGGAGGTTGTTGAAGTAGCTCCCTTTTTTCTAAATCGTCAGAGGCTGACGAAGCTTTTGCTGTCAAACATGTCTGAGCTGGTCTTACTGTTGTGGAATGCTAAGTCATAATGTCGATGCATCATTGATATTATAACATGACACCTTTATATCATAAAAAAATATATGCAGTACTATCAGAATTCTGAGGTAGTCTGAACACGGGGAACTGACTTGTGACGGATGCAATGTAGCCAGAAACCCAGAGGATAATTCTAGCAGCAGTTTGCTTTATATCACCTCAGCTTTACTCATACAATAACTTCTTGTTATTGTGGCCAAACAATTTAATCATTGCCTCATCTGACCATAAAAACTTTCCTCGAGAAGGTTTTTTCTTTGTCCATGTAATCAGTTACACATCTCTTGCATAGAGGCTTCTTCCTTGGGCAACAGCTTCTCAGTCTATGGCAATGATAACCTCATTCAACTGTACACAGTGACACAGGTGTTCCAGGCCTATGCCTTGCCGGTTTATGGGTTATTTCACACCATTTAAACCTTTAAAGCTTTCAGATCTTAGTCAAGTGGTTAAACTCCTCAGTAACTTGCACAACAATTTGAACTGTTGGTCTTGGTACATGCAGTTCTTTAGAAATGATTAAATTATTCTTGACTTGTCTAAATCCACAATCCTTCGCCTTGGCTCTGATAAGCTGAAAGATATTTTGGAAATTTCAGTGCCACTGATTTTAATAATCTAAGTGGGTGTGCATACAAAAAGCTTACAATGTCTCTGGGAGGCCAAAAAAAAGTTGAGCAAAGCTGAGACAATAAGACAAAGTTGTTTCATGTCAGTTCATTATTTGCTCAGAAAATCTGCATTTTATGAAATGAAGAAGATGGGCTCCTCACATTCCCCCTTTTCTATGGGAGGCATTGCTTAACTCTAAGGTTATATCCTGTTCACTTCAAATCTTTTTTAAGAGTAACAGCAGAGCAAGTTAAAATGGGTTGGAGGTGAAAGAGAGCAAAAGGAGCAAGGCAAGCACGAATACAAATGAAATAACCGACTGGAGGGTTACCTTCTCTTTGTCTCTCATGGATCCTTTACCGAGAATTGACATCTTTGTGAGAGTGTCCTCCTGTAGTCTCTTTAACGAGTTCCCGCGTGGCCCGAGGAGTTTGCCAACAAAGTTAAACTGCAACAGAGAGCAAGAGAGCACGGATCAGTCAGAATCTGTGTGTTTGAGATAAAGAGCAAAGACTTTTATGTCAGTCGCATGTGGCTCAACCACAGATTGAAGCTAATGAAAACTTATCAGTGGTTTTCCTCTTTCATATTTTGATAAAATCACTGAGGAAGCATTTCTGAGATGTCTTATCTGAGGTTCACAAGGTCACCTTTTCATGGGCTGTAATTTTATAGCACAAGAAAAAGCTGTGTGGCTCCGGCCAAAAGTCTTCAAAAAAGAATAATAGCACATGACATTCAAAAGGCACTGTTGCAAGGTTCAGTTTCAGGAGTGGCACAAACACCACGGTAAAAATATCAGTGATGAAGTTGGCATACACATGTTTCATATCTCATAATTACTAAACTGCCAAAAAGATCAGCACTTCCAGAAAATAATGCAGGACTTCTTTATCTGTAAATAAAACACGGGACCTCCTCCAGCAAGGTTTGGAAGCTGAAGGTGAAAATCTGGGAAAAGGTGACCTGGAGTCAGGAAACCGTAAGAGAGGAGTGGAAGAAACTGAGTAAGGATTTCCACACCATCCCCACTGGAAAACTCACCTCTATACAGCACATACATCTCTTTGGGCAATAAGCTTGTTGCATGTTATCAAATAAACTCTTAGAAATTATTTTCTTTTCAAAATTATTGTCTTTTATTCATCTTAAAAGTTGATTTCTGCAAACTTTCATTGTCATCTTTCAGATATGATTCTTGACGATTTTCCCCAAAACCAGAGACACACTGGTTTACACAGGCTCAGTAGTAGCATCTCCTTGTGACTAGAACAGATCGTTTTACTTTAGTTTTTGTTTCAGTCTCAGCTTTTGGGGTTTTTTTTAATATAAAATGGGGAACATCTGTGAGATGCTTCTAAGTACATACTTTTCTTTTAGTTTCTTTTTGTTTTTGTTTCATTCTCTAGTTGAAACAACTCGAAACAACTTCATATTTTTCAGTGACTAAAAATGTTTTTCAGGTTTTATTTCTTAGCTTCTTAGTTCAGTTAACTACAATAACTTTATTTCAAAGTGATGTTATATTATGTTATGTTACATTACGATTTGTTACCAATATTCGACACAACGCAGACTGCCAGGTTGGAAAAAAGCGAGCTTGAATCTTGATCTGAACACTGAAATTGTCTATTTAACAAAAACCAAAAACAACTTCTAACAACCAATGCAGAAAGCCAGTAGGACAAGAAAGCAGGAAATACTGAGTGCAATGTACCAAAGAAAAGACTGAGGGGGAATATAAGACACACACCAGAGACAGGGACACTGAGGCATAGGTGAACTCCAAACAACAAGGGAAGAACAAAAACAGACAACCACATGAAGAACTTTCCCTCAACATAAAATAGAATAACAGCAATAGAAAAAACCCCTGAAATACATAGATACAATAGATACATTTTATTGGGAGAGATGATTTTGATGTGAATGAGCTAGCCAAAAAACCCAACAGGCAGCATATAAAGGAAGAAATGACTCTCTATCCTAAGTGCAGTTTTTATTAACAAACTTGGGCAGCCAGTTTTATTTATTGTTAATTTTGCAGGTGATGAAGGCATAAGAACATCTCCTCATGAGCTTTACCTTGTCAGTTGATGACATTCTCTCAAAGATTGGTATATTTGAATATAAATGTTTCCGTGTAGCATTTCTGGGCCATTGAAGGCTTCTGCAGCTACATCACTTCACAAGGTCACTGCTTTTCAAGCGTAAAAACACAAATGCTACACATTGCCATCTCCAGTGTTGTGCACAGACACCTACCAAAGTCAGAGAACCTCATCACAATTTCACCAGCAGCTGAAGATGGTCAGAGACACAAAAGGGGAACGATGCATTCCTCCTCCTCCCTATGTTTTCCCTTTAACAGTGAGTTATACAGCTGTCTCCTTCCACTATCTAGGTCATCAATTAGCGAGCAGGAGGTTAAAAAAAACAGCCAGTTTTGTTCTACACCTCACCTATATCTCTCCTGCCTTTTGTTCTGAAAGCGAGTGCTTATTAGGAAGCTCCTGCCAATTCCTGGGTGAAGGATTTGAGAGGCAAGCTTTAGTGATTCGCTCTAATGCAGTAACTGACTGCTGGGTTTTTATCCCGGCCAGGCTGAAATCCAGCCGCTCTCAGATACAGTGTGTTCCTCCAGCTTTTGTAATTACACAGAGTCATGTGCCTGGATGTGATTGTACACTTAAAGTAAATATCATCCCTCAATGGCCAAGCCTGGGACGAGTCAACTCCTAAAATATATCACGACTCTGAGACAATTGTGACAGAGACTATTTTTAACACTAAGATGTGCCATAGTTACATAGTGCAGGCGCACAGGCTTCTGGGTAATCTTAGGTAGCATAAAAGTCTGTTAACAGCTGGGGAGGACTCTGTTGCTAGATTCAAGAAGCGTAAAGACAGATGGAGGATGAGGAGAAGAGATGCTCAGAACTTTGTGACTGAGAGAGGAGCGGTGACTGTTCAATGGAGGTTTTTAAGAAATGAGAGTGATTCTGCTTTCGTCTAACGGGTGACCAAATACTTCAAAAATACACGAGTACTCATTTTTGGCCACACCACCGAGCATTAATTTCAATGAGCGTGATAATGAGGCACTGGTACTGTAAAGCAATAAAAGAGGAAAGTAAAAACCACAGGGACATGAAGAACTGAACTTCAAAGCAAAGCAGAAGGTAAACCAAGAATATACTCAAACAACAGTTATACACACAGAAGGGGGAACATAAGAGTCACGTGAAAAGTAAGAACCACTAAGAATTCCAACTACCATCGTCCTTCATGTAAATATGTAAAAATTGTCTATGTTTCTGTTCTGTGTCTTCTATACTGTTTGTTTGTATATGTGTCTTTCTTGCAGCTGTTACAGCCAAATTTCCCCTTGTGGGACAATTAAAGGATTATTCTATTCTATTCTACAAGCATCAATCATCACAAAAACTCTGACAAAATGAATTGTCAGGTGAAGAATATTCAATTCAAAATTATCTACGCAAACAAAGCGCGCACCCCCTCGAAAGGAATCGAGTTTACAAAAGGATGATGAAAGCAGACAGCGGCACCAGGGCAAACAGAGGGTGTCAGGAAATGTTGTAAATGTGCTGAGTTTAACCGATGTCCTGAGCATCCATCATCTCCACCTGGATGGAGCTTTGATCATTGAGCTGTGCCGTCTCCTGAACAATGATTTGCAGAGCCAGATCACACAGTTGACATCTTTGCGCATTACCAAAGCTTTTATGCACCCTTTCCTTCCTCCTGACAGGTTGTGTATCGGACACGACGTCCGGGATGTTTGTGCAGATATCTCAGTCCTCTGGCTACCAACTGTGTGTACCCACCGATGGGTAAAAACGCTTGAACAAGCAGAAAAGAGTATTTTCTGATCAGGAACAAAGCGTTGCTGTGTATACTGTGTACAAGTGTAGCGTAGAAGCCCTATCAAATGTGCATACATGGGCATCAGGCAGAAAGCAAAAAGAAGCTAATTTACAGGGAGAGAAAATCAGACGGGCTGTGAAACAGAAATGAATGCAGACATAAATTTACTCTGCTGGCAGAGCAATTGAGGCTCAGTGGAATAAGGGACACAATTAGAGAGAAGCTGGCTTTCTGCTGAGCTGAGAGGACAAATGCCCTTCTTCATTTAGATACAATGTTTTCTACAGAGGACAGTTTAAAGAGAGACAGAATCTACTCAAAGAGAAACGTGTCAGGGTGCTCTTCGTTTGAATTCAGATCCTACACACTGTCTCATTAGTCTGCGCTAACCACACAGTCTACACCTGAAGAAATCCCCCCCACCAGCATCCTCTTCAAGACCACATTACACTAATTAGACAAATTAACGTTGCATTTTGTATCCAATCACTGCATTGGATCTTTTTGTTGCAACAAACAAAAAAAAGCACAAAAACAGAATATATGAGGCTCATCAGCAGAAAATCAATTTCTGAAATAGTTATTTTGATCATCATTTTAGAGGAAACAATATTCTCTGTTTTTTGGAGGGTTTTGTTGCTCTTTCTATGAGTGCAGAGCCATAGTTTAATGAAGGAGCTGCAGAAAGGGTGAGAAATGGCAGACAGTGATGGGGGAAAAGATATTTAGGGCCTCGGGCATTTATATAAAAATGGCTTTAAATGCCAAAGCATTTAGTTTCCAAAAATAATTGGTCAAGTTTGAGGCCAAGCATGGGTATTGAAGATTAACACTGACACAGCTAAAAGCATAAGGTGTGGATTACCAAGTGGGCGAATTGGCAAACCTTTCTAGGTTCTGTGGTAACACTTCACTTTGGTCATTTTTTTATGATATAATATATACAGTACCACTAAAACACATCATGTAGTTAGCTTCAAAAGGAACTCAAGTTGGGTAGCTAAATATGAGAAATTATAGAGTACTGTGCAAATCTCAGTGGACCTCAACATTATATCAAATATTTACTATATATTCTAACATACTTGTAAGAATTGCACAAACTCTGTTAGTTGCCTTCTAAGCTGTAATTGTATTTATGTTTGCAGTGTTTCAAAAAATTGTTGCACCTATTTCCCGTTTTTCAGTAAAATATAAAAGAAATGAATGATGGTCCAAGTCTTTTTACATTTATATACTATTCTTTAAAAAACTGATAAATAAAAATGTAGCACTCCAGCTAATAAAGCCATGGTTATACGTATCACTGAAGGAGTCAAGAAGTAGTGTTTGGTACTCAAGCTAACCAGCTAACTAAGTTAGGCCATAGAGGGAAATCAGAAGAATACTGACACATATCACCTCATTTATTCTCTGGACATTTTGGGGAGTTTGGAGGGTTTTGTGACCTCCTCTCTATCCTTAATGATGAGTTCATATATATATATAATCTGATGCCTACGTAGACGTTTTTTTCCTATAATCTGGCCTTAACAATGTCAGAAACCCCTCACTTCAGAAGAAGTAGAAGAAGAAGTAATGAGTTAGCAGGAGGGTGGCCCTTGAGCTAAAGCAGCTTGTATTAGACAGTGAATGAACTAAAGTGTTGCACCAAGATGAAAAATATAAAGAGGAATAATTTGTAAGTGCTAATAAAATTAACATGCTAATAAAGCTATTCTAATAGGTCTCAAGGATAAAAAATGGGCAAACAATATTTCACTTGCCAGTAGAGATATTATAATACCAGTAAACAGTTTTGCATGTATGGTCTCTGAAAGCTTTCAGATGAAATCATTTTCATGGTGCATTCTGGGTTTTCCAAAAAACAAAAGCAAAAAGCTTCTGCCATGATGTGTTCAATATTGACAAGCAATGCCTATGTTTCTTAAAGCTAGGTTAAAGCCAGCTGTGCTCAAGTGGTGCGTGCACATTCCTAAATTGTGTTGCCTTCATCATATAACCCCACAGTAAACCTGTTTTAATGTAAAAGTGTGGCAGGACGAGATCTTTAAAGAGGAGCAGAGCAGCTCATTTTTGCCCCATGGCTATGCAGCAGCTTAATCCAGTCATGTTACACTAATGTTACAGACAATATAGTGACATGATGTAATGGCATGTGTTTGGAGCTATTTTAAGTTTGTGGCTGTTTAAACAGGGATCATGCAGATTTGCTTTGTACCGGTTTGATTAAAGCCAGTAAATGTCACAGAGAAGTCTTAATCCCGTTATTTGAACACATCATGAGGCAGTCGGTACATCTGCACACACTCCTCATATGGACCGTACTCCACATATATAAGTCTATACTGAGCAAATAGCTGTAATCCCTGCTGTTTATCAGATATCAAAATCTGTCTGACTTCCAGTGTGATTGATGCTTTGGGGTTTGGCTAATGCTTCCGTTATCAGGAAGGATTATATGACTTATGAAAACCTGCCCGGGCTTCTGTAGCCGCTTCATGTCATTAGACTGTGTGAGAGGATTGTGCTGCTGCTTTCTGTAATCACCAAAAAAACAACCTGATGTATTTAATCACAGGTTGTCACTTGCTGCTCTGTTGTGCTGTTACTTGAATGAAAAATAATAATAAGATGCAAATACACAGACCCCTCCCTGCCAAAAAAAAAAAAAAAGTTAATTGTAGTATTTTGGCCCAGCTTGTTTTCCCAAACCAAAAAATAGTGGATGATTAGAAAGAATAGAGGACACAGGAAGAGAAAGGATGTCTGATTAATCATGCTTAACTTGAAGGGGGCGGGAGTGGTGGTGAGCACATCTGAGCTCTTTTCATCATTTGCTGAATGTATTACTGCAAGTCTGGCGAAAGGTGTGCGCACAGAGAGCCAGTGCCGAGTGATTATGCTGAGGACAGCAGGACAGGAGCGACAGCAGAAGGATAAATCACAGCTCCCAGCCCAGAGAAACGCCACAGTTTGAACTGGAAATAAACCGGTGGGACTCCTTACGCCTCACTAATGACCTCTGGTGCTTTGTGCCAAAAGAGAGCTTTCTAGGAGAAGGCCTACAGAACCAAGAAGGGTACAGATGAGCTCTGATAGCGCATCGACGTTCAAAAGGTAGAATATTTTTAGTTCCTGGGTAGGCGTGACATTATGTGTCATAGTGATTTATGTCGACAAGGGTTCGATTAAACGTAAAAGACAGCTAACTTAACAGTACTGCCATGTTCACAACACCCCGCAGCACATAGTGGATCCCTTTGTAAGCGTCATTCTTTCCAGTATTTTAGAAATTCTAAATAATTCATCAGTGTTGGGTATTAAAAATCACTGCTGACACACGGCTCTATCTCAGCCTAGAATTTGCTGCATGGTGTCCTTGCCTGCTTCATTTTGATAAAAAGCCGTGTTTGCAGACGATGGATTTAACCTCTCTGCACGTGCTCCTAAATGGCCATTTGGAAAATGGCAGTGCCACTTCAATGCCAGAAGCCAAAAGGTGATGCTCGCAGCTCAGGAGAAAAGCCATTCAAGTCAGACAGATCACTCTTGCCACTGCTACCTGTCAGATAGAACAAATTGAATTTGTCTTCCTCCGGTGGCTTGTAGGAGCTCTAAACAGCATATTAGTGGCTCTACTTATCAAAGTTGTCAAAGCAAATCTGTTTAGCTGTGAACCTGGGAGACTCAGATCAGTCTCAGATAGCATTACACACATATGTATGTCGTACACAGGCAGCGCTAATTGAGATTATTTTATTTAGCTGAATTACTTTGAGGTTTACAACAGAGTGCATCTTAACCTTACCGGATGACGAATGTATCGTCTTTCCACAGTACAGACAAAGACCTTTATATGGAAATCTAAGCTAAATGTGGTTTTACTTTTTAAACACTTTGAGTTCATTTGACTATTATTTAAACAGATTTTTAAAAACATGAATGAACATGAAATGTGCTTTAAACAGCTGCAATGTCTCAAAGGCTTTAGCTAGCAAAATGTTAGCATTACATGCATTATTATCTATAGAATACAGCTATGGAGACTGCATTAATGTAACATACAGTACGTATTGATAAATTAGATTTGACTCTATTTGAATTCCTGGTGTATGCCTATACAATTCACAAAATGCATCTATCTATAGTTTGTCAAGGTTCAGCAGAGGATTCAGTCCTTAAAAATATATGAAATCCCTTTTAAGCCTCAGACAAATTCATTAAATAAAAATTAAAGAAAGAAAAGATGGAGCAAACAGATTTTTAAAGTTTTAAAAAGATGTTTTTTTGCATTTTTTTGTAAAAATTTCTAGTTTATAATATTTCATTAAAAAGTACATAAAGTGTTAACTCCTGTTTGATCTACAGTCTTTCACAAATACAAACTAAGTGCTACGTGTGAAATAATAACAATAATAAAGCATGGTGATGTTTATATGCTGAAATGTCACTGTGAGTCTGGTGTTGAGATTGATGAAACCAAACCTAGAGGTTTGTTGGTTCAGCTTTGTCCTCTCCAGTGGTATACTGAAGGTTGCCGCTATCCTTCCCGTGGGGGCTGAGATGAAAACTTGAGCGATGTCCCCCAACTAGGAGCAGCCCTCTCACTTTTACACCAAGCCTCCTCATCACGCTCCCAGTGGGAAATCCCTGTCATGCATCGAGCTTGTGGCTCCAGTAAATGCAGCTGTCGATGAAGGCTCCTGCTAGCGGGTGAGGCTGAAGTGCTCTCAAATGTGCCAACAGTATTATCACTCAAAACGGCTTTACATGGAGGTCATTGTGAAGCCGACCGTCCTGGACTCTATATTTGTGACTTATGGGCCACATTGCAATCACGCTCTCCCCATACAAGCGATAAATTGTCATGAGAAAAACAGCTTCTAGAGCTTGTAAAAGACCCAGAATCTCCCATGTTTCACAAGGAATCGTTTGACATTCACTAAAATGAAATCCACTGCGAGGTTATTCGTTGACAAATTAATATACAGAGGCATCACAGCGTCACTGACCAAGGTCAACACAAAGGAGAGTTTGGTGCTGGAGAGAGGAACAATTAGAATTAAAGTTATACATTTCAAAAGCTTAAACAGTTCTTTAGACAGAAAGTAACCTCCCTAACATCGTCCTACCCCAGTTCTGTCATCCGACTCTCTGCCTGAACACCATCTACCGGATATGCTACATCTAATAACATAAAGCATCAACAAAAAGTGTCAAGTGGCTGTTGGAAGGAATTTAAATCAAAAGTAGAGCCACTGTAGTTGACTTCATTATCTATAAATAACGCAATCTAAAATTCTCTATCTGTGCACATCACATTCTTGGAGAAGTCTCTGGTGGTGATACCATAGCACTTACTTTAGGAAACTGCTTGACTGGTATTAAAACTTTCTGGCCCAGTTTCATGTTCTTGTTGATGACGACATCGATGAACTTCTCCTCCTCCTTCCCCTCGTCTTTCTGAATTTTTTCAATCTCTGGAAAGAAGCAAGAAAAAAAAGATGAGCTTGTGTTGAAAAGCATGAACTTACAGGTCTGGAGCAGCAGAGAAGTACTAGTGCAAAAAATACATATCTTCACTGAAAGAATAATTGAAGTTTCTTTTATTTTGGGGTGCACTGTTTTCAGCACAGGAACAAGATGAGAGTACATGAGTATACGATAGCGGTTAGCCTTGCCTGTCATAATGCCTGGAAACTGCTACACTGGCTACTTGTGTCACACAGTAATGAACACAAAACTCGCTTCTGGTAAAAGCTTTTTCTTCAAAGTCCTGAACTGTTCAACCTCAAGTGAATGCTGCTTCTCAAATTGCTGAGAAAATGTCAAAAGGCTCCTTAAAGTTTTTCAATTTGACACATTAGGATTGTGTCTTTTGTTCAAAACCCAGCTACAGCACATTTACAAAACACACAAACACAGAGTAAATTGTTACTAAAAAGCAAATATTTAGGTTTTTTCTCCTCTGCAAGAACCTCAAACAATTTTACAAGTAAAGCTTTGTTTAAAGGACATGAGAGTGTTTTTCATGATTTTCTCCAACTTTTCTAATACACAGTAAAAGCTATAACTATTGATTGATTGGTAATTTATTTCAACATGTGAACAATATACAAGTACATTTAGAAAAGAAATAAGAGAGAAAAAAATACTATACAAATTACATACAAAAAAACATTCTGATTAATTTACATGTTGAAAGGGAGTGGGAAGAAGTATACACTTATTTAATCCCACCCCTTTGCCATAAATTATCAGTGAATATTTAGTCAGCTTCCTTACTGATATAATTTGTAATAAAAATAGTGAACAGATTTCTGATATACTATATACTATAATATCACATCATGAATTTTTTGTTTGTTTGTTTGTTTTTAAATAGAGACATTCACTTAATTTAAATATTTTTCTTTTCTTTATAGATCGAGAAGATCATATTTTTATAACTCTTTTTGAACAGTTTTATGTTTGGACATTGCTTTAATTCCATATTCAGTTTGTTCTATAGTTTCACTCCATGAACAGAAACACAAAAGCCTTTTCTTGTAGTACGTACCTTCATTGTTTTGAAGTTACAAAAACCCCTTAAATTATAACTTCCTTCTTTCAAAAAAAACATAATCTGAATATTACCTGGCAGTTCTTTATTTTTTGCTTTGAATAGAATTTGTGCTGTTTGGAATTTCACTACATCGTCAATTTTCAATATTTCAGACTGCAAAAATAGTGAGTTTGTATGTTCCCTATAACCTGCATTGTGGATGATTCGAATTGCTTTTTTTTGAAGAGTAAAAAGTGAATGTAATGTGATTTTATAGTTATTGGCCCAGACCTCTGCACAATAGTTTAAGTATGGTGAAACCAGTGAACAGTAGAGAATATGAAGTGATGTTCTGTCTATCAAACTGTAAACTATAAAATTCCACATTGCAACCTAAAATTGGGCATAAATGAAACATGAAAGAATATGGAAATCTGGTGCAGTATATTAAATCTTTTTGCGTCACTGAGAAGTCATTTAGTGTCGTTCTGAAAAAATAATGTTTTAACGAGCTCAAACAAAACAAGTGTTTTAAAGGTTGGAGATGATCCAATGGAAACTAAACCCCTGACCCTATTACCTCGAAGCCTTGCATACTAAAACGGTATTTTATTATGTTTACTCATGTGATTAAGCAGAATTGGCTGAAATCTGTGTCTTTCAGAAGCTGTAAAAACTTGAGATTTTAAGATATATTTATGCAATGTGTGATTTTGTGAACATTTATGGCATCATTGTGATGCCATAGGGCTGACATAGAGTGCGTTTAATAAAATGTGTTTTACAGCTCTCCCCATGGTTTCTTGAATTTTTTTTCAAGGTCAATTTTGACCTTGGGCGCTAACAATGAAGGTAAAGGTCAAATGCTTAACCAACCTAGGTACTCATGTCCCCCAAGACCTAGTATATTGTTGTGAAGTTTGACTAAGATCCATGAAAATTGTGGGTAATATAAAGTTTTGACCTTGACCCGATTTTCACCTAAATTAAATCCGCTCGAGCTGTTATTGGTTTCCACCATCACACAAAATGTGAAAACGATATCTTGAAAACTGTGGGCGCTAGACTGGTAGCAAAGACAGACAGCACCCATTACATACCCCCTCACTTCAGGGGGAGAACAAAATAAACACAACTGAACCAGTGACAGCAGTACAGTATGTTCTGAGTCAGTTTTAAGTACTGACCTACTTTAAATTACTTCTGAAAACACATTTTTTACAGTCTTATTTTTTCATGTGCTTTTATTATATGTGATCTTTATTAGGGCTGAACGATATATCGCATTTGCGATAATATCGCGACATGATCAAGTGCAATTTTCTAACCGCAAAGGCTGCGATTATACT